TATGTCGAGTAATCTCCCTTTAATGATCAAAATATCGGATTTACGAATCATATTAAATTTAAATATTGTCATTGTAAAAGGTGACAAATTACAATAATTACATACAATCACAACACAATAAACTATCATAATATGAGAATACTCTGAGCAGAGACAAATAATTGTCAGCGGTACTTATCTAAATTGATTGCATTTATTTATTTCAAAACAAGTTACGATGTCGATGACCGAAAGTGACAATCGACACCATTTGCAATTATAAATAAATAAATATAGCTATAATATTGAATTGTTTATTGCACTATATATACCATAATATGTTTCATGCATATAATTACTGTTTTAATAAACTAGTAATCAATCACTAATTACAATACATTACAACGAATTGCAACGAAAGTATACATAGTTTCTTGTCAACAAAAATCACATACACAAGTTATCTCTCATGAACCTCCGATTTGGGCCCAAAACAGTGAGGCTTCTTAAACTCAACTAAATTGTTATTTTGTGTTTCCACAGTCAACATTTTTGGAGTTACTGGGTGTTGTTTTGGAGTTTTTGGGTAATTTGATGCGCCCTACGTTATCATAATCATGATGCATATATTTGAAATGAATTTCGGTAGTCTTTCAAATAAATAAATCCTACAGCGCCTTCATCTGGCCTGTGGAGAGATCAATATATTCGTTATATTATAATGTATTATGCATTTAAAATAAATTAGTTTTGTGGGAGGAATCGGGGGTTTTCGAAGTGAATTCCGGTGATTATATGTGAGTTCCGGTGATTGTAAATGAGTTCCGGTGATTAGTCGGGCCCCTTTGAATCAGTTATTATGCGGCTCTTGCAGTTTATTTCTAATCGAGCCAAGATTGAATTTCGGTCTTCGGCTAACTCGGATCTTCGTTTAACTCGGATAAAATTGGTCAGTTCACTTAGATCCGAAATATGCGAAGTTTACTGTATTTCTTTGTGGCCATATAACAAGAGAGCAAAGTCTATAAAACATACAATCATTCCAATTAGTAAATAAACAGCTATAATCCTAAGAAGAAATTACAAACATACTTGATATGCGTTTAAAATCAAAGCCCTGTCTTAATTTTATTAGCACTAAAAGAAGTTGATCGTCTAGAGAAACACTAAGCTGCTACTATTCTTAGAAAATTCAAATGGTAACTTATAAAAAACAGTCATAAGGAAAGCCAGTATAATACTGAAATGAATCTTTTTTAAAGTAGAACAGCTAAAACATTGCGCTGAAAGGTTCATACTAGTTCCTTTATCTACTTGATGAACTTGACTGCATTTAAGATTTTCATTTTCCACAATTAATTTTGCATATCCTTTTTCATTTTCATATTTTCTGCAGCAAGGGCCAAGATGTTCATCGGTTGAAATCCTGAAAAATATATACAGTAAATAGATTACAATATGTATTTCAGGCACGTCTTATGCAAGTGACAACTCAACCGAGAACAGAGAACTCTGATAAATGTGGTGAAATAGTTTTTCCAAAACCAGTTGATGTACATTTAGATTTAAATCAGATAGAAAAGATGAAAGTTGAGTGGAAATAAATAGATGTAAAGCAAGATGAAGACATAAAAATAGAGAGATTCACAAGGAATAATAAGACCTGGATGAACGAAAGAAAGTGTGGTGTTACTGTCTCAAATTTTGGAGCTGTTATGAAAAAGAATAAACAATTCATTTTTAAAAAACACATTTGACAAAAGTAATTTGTATTCTGTTACCACTTTTTATGAGCAAGCAAACGAAACCATTGCTAAACAAATGTATATCAAACAGACTGGGAATCATATTCATGACATTGGACTTGTAATAAATCCAGCTTTTTCATTTTTAGGTGCTACACCAGATGCAATTGTTTGTGATGAAGGCTAGACTGGGCTCATTGAAATTAAATGTCCTTTTTCAGCTCAAGATATGACACTCATAGAAACATGTAATAAACTGAAAGATTTTTTTAATTCAAAATGATGATGAATACACATGTATAAATTGTCTAGAAACCATATTCACTGGTTTCAGATTCAGAGACAACTTCTCATAAATGGGACACAATTTTGCAACTTTGTCACTTTTACAAGACAGGATTCTGCATAGAGAGAATATATCCCGAAAAAGAAACCATGCAGCAACTTGTTTCAAAATAATCATGTTTTTATGTTGAACATTTACAGCCATATGTTATAAAAAATTCTACATGTCTATAAAATGAGTTTAACTAACCTGCGATAGCATCAACTATATTCTCTGTCTGTACCATTTTATTAATCAAAGCATTTTCTTCACAGTTTTTATACTCAATTTGATTTGACTTTATAGAAAATTTGTAAAAAAAATCATAATTATAGAAAATTTGTACATAAATAATTATATTCAAAATTTTTATACCAGAGACTAATTTTAAAAATACGGCAGTAAAATATTCTAATTGTTTGCTGCTAAAATCTGGCGTCTAATTTCAATAAATATAATAATTAGTCTAGCCATTAATAAAAAAAATACAGCATTAACACAATTTTCTCAATTTTAATTTCATGCTATTACCATAACTTACGGTTACAGATGCATAAAGAATGTGTGTACTTTATAGCAGGATCTAAAAGAAAAATATTTAAAGTGATATAGAACAGTTTATAGTGTCGACACAAACTAGATAGGTCATTTTTGGACCGACAAATTGTCCAATTATATTTCAATAATTCCTGTCCGCATTGTAGGACCTGGAGGAAACCAACGGGGTTGGACAGACGAGCCTTGCCACATACAAGTATTGGTTCGAATAGTTCGAAACCACCTCACTGACAGCCCTTATGATCTAAAATGCATGTGTTAACCATTCAACAACCCAAACCCCCAGTATAGGACAGAAGACACCATCTACAAGACAGTGATTCTGAGCCTTTGTGTGACTAATACTGTGAGCACATGTGACAGGAAATAATCATTCTAAAGCTGATAAACCCATTGTTACCTTAATCTTGGTTGAGCAATATGATCATAGTGCAGTGCAGCTATGGGATCTGGCTGAAAAATAAGAATATTATTATTATGATACATAAATATAAGTAAGTTTACATGACCATTTCATTCTCTGAGATAATTACTATCTAGTTTTTAATTGGCAACTTGATTTGCTTTGTCTGTCTTCACTTTTTTTTGTTAACTTCTTAATCAAACTTTAAATTATGGCCCATGTCCGAAATGAAATGAAATGGGGTTTAACGTCCTACTGTTCTGCTCTGAACTGGGCTAATGAAGACGGGTATACGCCATACACTGTGCTATGAGGGAAATTTTGCCCAGACAGTATATCGATTTCCAACTGTACACGGAACCTCTGTTTTTCATCCCATCCAAACGAATAGACAGTTGTCCTTGTCAGGTCCTGCACCCATGCCCGAACTATTTAGCCTGCAGACCTGTTCTGTAGTATAGTCCTATATATGAGTTACAGACAAATAAGATCAACTATATTAATTATATTATGAAAAAGATTATTTCTACTGACTGTCACTTCTGCCCTGGTGCAATAACTGAATGAATTTATAAAATGTCTGAGAGGAAATGCTGTCATTTTAATGTCACATTGTAAAAACGGCCACATTTATTAGCCTATAAGATAAGGCCTACTGGTACCAGTGTTTAAGGTCATGAGATGAAGAATCCTATTGATTTTCAACGATTTCCAATAATTACTGCCAGAGTTATGGTCCTTGATCACTTTGAAATATCTTGTGGATGGTGTAGAGGCCAAAGTTAATATCCGATTGACTTTAAATTTATACACAGTGTTTAAGGTCCTTAGATGGAGAATCCTATTGATTTTCAGCGATTTCCGATAATTACTGCCAGAGTTATGGCCCTTGATCACTTAGAAAAATCTTGTGGGCACTCTAGAGGCTAAAGTTAATATCTGATTGACTTTAAATTTATAAATAGTGTTTAATCTCATCAGACGAAGAAGCATATTGATTTTCTACGATTTCCAATAATTACTGCCAGAGTTATGGCCCTTGATCACTTTGAAAAATCTTGTGGATGCTTTAGAAACCATAGTTATCATCTGATTAATTTTATTTTTATACACCGTGTTTACTCCTATATATACTCTTCCAAAAAAGTAGTGGATATTCAAATGCAAATACCTATGCAGGTTGTGATATGATAAATAGTCATGAACACTTGACATGCTTTGTGAGAGTATGTTCAAAGATGAAGAACTTATCGCCCCAACAGAACCACTGAGCTGCATGTGCGACACGCAATAGCGCCATACACGTGGGAGGGGTTCATTGTCAAATTTGACACTTCAAGGAAGGGTTGATGAAAACTGCCGCCTGCTGGTTTATCCTATCCATATTTGCTTTCCTATCGGTTCTTGCACAAGATTTACTGTTTAGCGTATCTTTGCTTTAGTGTGTTACGTTTAATTTGATCAGGAGACGTGTTCGTTGAGATCAACGTCAACCCACAACACTGCAAGAATTGGCCGTGGCACTGCAAGAGGAGTGGGTCAGATTGCCCCAAATCGTGATTGGACGGTTGATGAGAAGCATGCCAGGCGAATTACTGAATGTCTGGGGATTGGTGGAGCAATTACTCATTATTAAGACGAAAATCAAAAACATCCATTTTCACTTTTAACAGTTATCTCTTTGCCGATCTGTTTGAAATTTATATGTGTCATTTAAATTAGTAAAAAGAAGAACCTTATTCAATTTCAGCATGTAGGAAATTTTTAAGCATTATTTAGATTAGTGAAACGAAGAAGCCTATTGAATTTCACCAATTTCCGTTAATTACTGCTAGAGTTATGGCCCTTGTTTCTCTTTGTTGAACCTTGAAATTGTTTATGAATAAACAATGCAAGAGAAATCCACAGCTCTTTTAAGATGTTTCTGCTAATACCATTTTTATATTTTGTTTTACCAAACAATTGGTTTGACAATTATTTATTTTTATAGTTTTATCGAATGCAAAGCTGGGTTTGTGAACCATGGACGATATGTTGGAGGAGGAAGATGAACCAAGACTACATATGGATTGTGAGTCACGTGATTCTGACAATGAAACTGGTGAGTTCAGTAGAAAAATAAAAGCACACAAACAATTTTAACAACCAAACACCACAGGGAAAAATTACCAAATAACCCGAACACCAATTTCACAGTATCAAAGAATTGTACTATTTCAGTCAAAATAATGGTGTCAATGTACTTGTAGTAGAAAGCATACTGAACTCTTTATATAGAATCTAAACCATCAGTGACCAACCACCATAACCATGGGTTCCAAGAAATATGTTGATATTAAATGACAGTAAAACGTAATACATTTTATTGGGTCTAAATACACATCTTCAATTCAAAAGTTCAATGGACCTGTTTGTTGGAGATGCAATAATTGTACTGTCAGATCCTGTGAATAAGTGTCCGAATAATGTCAAATGGACGTCAAAAATGCTATTTTATGTCAGGAACATTGGCCATACATGCAATGTATGATTTTAAGACACTTGAATAGCCAGGAAGCAGCTGTTACACTGATATGTTCTCAAGGATTGACTATTATTAGAGTGGTTCTTGCGGGCTTACCTGTTGATCATCTCGAGAGCTAAATGACACTGATTTACTTCAGATGTGCGAGTTCAGCAGGAAAACTGTAATTAAAGCATGGAATCTAACAATTGTTGATTTCATGGGATTTTATATGTTGATTTCTTTTTTGAGACGACCTCTATAGATAAAACAAGTGTCATCATGTCATAGCTGTATAACATATTTTGTGCAGTATAATCGATTTTGTGTTGTGCTGTTGACATAGACTTTTAAAAATTGAAACTAAATAGTAAAATTTGTAAACAAGCTGAAAGAAAAGTGTAATCATGTAATAACAGTGGTTGTCATGATATAGACATAACTAGGGAAAGTTTGAATATTTAGCGCTAGGTGGAGGAGCCTGTTGCCCATCCTCGGGCTACGCCTATGCTATGTTGAGTTTATGTTGACTAGACCAGTTGTACTGCCCAGTCAGAGCAGAACAGTATGACGTTAAACCCCATTTCATTTCCAGTTGTACTGCAAGTATTGTAATTTAAACTAATGGCCAATAAAGAACCTTTAATAATCACCACAAATTATTTTATATTTTAGGATTGGTTATTGAGTGTGTAGATGTGACTGGAGAAACATCTTCAGTTAAAACACCTGACAGATTTGAAATGAATATTGAAAATGAGAAGATAGAAGTAGTTGTAAACTATGATTTTGTTCAGGATGTAGTGGATAAACCCACAGAAATTACCCAGAATGCTACATCAAAAGCACAAAATCCCATACTGAAATCAAAAACAAACAGAAAAAAATCAGAACACACGAGTGATGAAAAAAAAAATTATAAATGTACGAAGTGTTGTTTTGAAACTAATGACTACTCCCGTCATCTTCTTCATGCATGTAAGCCATCAACAAAACAAAACTTTACAATCACATACCATAAAAATGGCAATATATTTAGCTGCTCTTGTGATTATATATTTCATAAATTAAAATCTTTCCATGAACATCTTGTGTGCCATATCATAGCCAAGCCATATAGATGTTCACAGTGTAAATCAATGTTTGTTTCCAGGAAGGAAATAAATAAACATCTAATAAGTGCTCATCCACAAACTGATAAGAAATTTCATGTGAATGGGCTAAAGTTCACAAGTAATATGCTAGAAGAAGCAAAAAAAAAAGGCTCATACACTCACTATGTCCAGGAGAATACCAGTAGTGAAGGTTCTAGATCCAAAATATCAAACCAAGTGGCTCCTGAACCCACCAAAGCATCCAATATAAACATTGTTATTGATGATGAAGAAACAGAAAATCCAGCAACATCTATTGATGTGGCTGTTAAACCTATTCCAGTAGGATTGTTCAGAAATGTTAATCACACAGAAATGTTCAAATTTGAATTTACTCCAACTTTTGTGAAGTATACATGTACCTTATGCTCAAAAAATTGGGAAAATAAAAAGTTGTTTAGTCTTCATATGTGGATTCATCAGCATGAAAATGCTGTCCGTTGTGACCAGTGTGTAGAGAAAGAAGGCGAGTCGCACATAACATGTTCCGTTACTACTAATTTGTTCCATACTCTTTCAAAAGTCAGTTATACAAAAGCTCAAGCAGAAGCGGTTAAGAAAGGAGCATTAAGAAACATCACAATTGATGAAATAACCTGTACAGTTGTAGATAACTGTAAAATATATAAGTGTACTGTTTGTGATATAAATTTTCCTTACATAAATGCTTTAAAGTGGCATGTTTGGCAACATTCTCACTCTACAATTATTTGTTCAGAGTGTCATATTATGAAATCCTCAGGTACTAAATATATTCTATGCTCTTCAGTAGAGAAAATCATGGAAAAACTAAATGACAGCGAACAATCTGAATGTGTTAAAGGACGTGTAGGAATAATGCCTAGTCTTCAGGGTGAAGTAAACATCACAACAGACATAGATGATATGACAAAAAATAAAAGTGACTTTGGTTCTATTCTGAAAAATAAGCAAATTGTATATGTATGTTATTTGTGTTCTAAGCAATGGACAGATAAAGAAAGATTCTGGCTTCATGTTTGGACACATTGTCATAATAGTAGAAAGCCATGTAATGACTGCAAGAAGATAGTCAGTTTTCCTGGTATGTCATGTTCTGTAGTTGATAGAAGCATCGATTTGTCCTTATCTGAACAACCAGAATCTCCACTTCCTGTTTCAAAACCTGCTACTAGCACATCATCTGATAATAGGATTACTGGAACTTCTATACAATCTAAGCAACAAGACATGTTATCAATTGAAGAAGATAGTACTGCATCACATCCTGTAGATAAACCAAAAGTGGTACCTGGAACAAAGCACAAACCTATTGCCGTTGATGATGATGTTATTGAAATCGTCATGGACAATGCAGATGATGGTGAATCCAATTACTTTATACAGCCAACTAAACCCTCGACATCAGTTCCTTTGAACTTTGCTTCTACTTCAGTTCTTGATGAAACCGGTCGAAGTACTCAAAACTCATGTGGACAGACAGTTACATCAGAGTTCCATTTTAAAAATCTTGTCAATAACAGATTTCCATCTGGACTTAGAAGAAAATTCCTTTCATCTGAGAATGTAGCTAGGGCAATGTCTTCTCTCTATAATTTGACTAAAGACAATTATCAGTGTCTAATTTGTAATACAACATTTCATTTGAATGATTTATTATTTCTTCATGAACATTTGGCAGTTAAACATATGAAAATCCCTTTACTTAAATGTGGACATTGTGATTTTAATGGTAATAAAGACGGCCAAATATCCAACCATTGCAGAACAAAGCATCCTGGGAAAATGATAAGCATTCATGGGTATGATATTGATATTTATGAATCTGTGTCTCAGTACATGAAGTTGATGAAACTAAAACAAAAAAAAACAAATATTGCTACAGTGGTTCCTCCTAAAGATACACAACAGACATCTTTGTCAGCTTCTGAAGATGCTCTCCTTGTTAAGTACCAGAGATTTTGTCAAGTTGTTGATGAAACTGAACATGATCACATCTTGTGTGTAAAAGGAGAATCTGCACTGCCCACTGACACAGAATCTTGTCAAATTAATAGGATTTCAGAAAACCATGGTATAGAAGATGATGGAAATAAACAGAGTTCTAATATCCAAATACTAAGCACATTTTCATTGGCTCACTTAAATAGAACCGACAATAATATACTTGGGTCAAACAATCCTCATCCTATTAGACAAGATACAGCTACCTCCACATCAAACATAGAACAACTGTCAATTAAGAGTGAATTTTCACAAGGTCACCTGCATACCTCACATTTTTCTTATCAATTTTATGCATGTGGATCTTGTTCTTATTCAACATTGATTATGGAAGACCTTCGAAAACATCTCTTTACACTTCATGCATCAGCTAAGCAGTTTCCATGTAAACATTGTGGATTTTTAGGCTTGAGAATAGATCAACTTATGAAACATTTTGTGTATCATACCAACCTGAATGCACCATCAATACCTGTTTTTCAGTGTACACAAACTAACTGTGAATATCGTTGTAATGTTTTAGATAGCTTTATATCTCACATTGAGAAGCATGATAATGCAACCTTGGAATGCCATGAGTGTTTTGCCTCACAAGATAATGTAAATGGGTTACGTCTTCATTATGAAGAAAATCTTCTGTTAATAATAAGTTGTCCTCATTGTACAGCCATTGCTACAGATAAACATACTATGATTGATCATATAGGGCAATGGCATGATAGCATGCCAACAACATACTCCATTATTAAACAACTTGTGTGTAGAGATCGTCAAATCTATGGTTATACTGAGAAGAATACTTTGAAAGCCGGGCCAGACAAGGCCCAAATTGAGATTGACCGTAAGATGACTTGCACTATCAGAAAAGAAGACACTGTTGAATATGTAAATGACATGACTGAACTCTCATGTAAGTTGTGTTCTTTTATAGCAGTTTCATCAACGGAGATTTCTTCCCACATGAACATACATACCAACATACCAGAGGATATCATGGATTATCTTTGTCCATTTTGCAAATCTGGTTTCACAGATAAATACAAGCTTGAGAGTCACCAAAAACAACATGCTGAGACACAAATGACAATATATTATTTCCAGTGTAAATGTGATTCATATAAAACCAATGTTTATCAAAATATGTTAGATCATATGCATGATGGTAAACATACAATTACCACCAACCCAAAAGACATGTACCATGTTGAAGAAATTTCTCTTCAGTCCGGTGTTGTAACATGTTCTAGTTGTACCTTCAGAAGTGTGTCTCCTAGTAATCTAGCAAAACATGTGAAAGCAGCACATGAAAGTCAAGACAGTTGTGATTTCCCATCAGATAAAGAAATACAACAGGAGGAAGAAACGCATAGTGATGTCTGTGACACTGTTGAGAGAGCATCTCCTAAACAAAAAGGACATTTAAAATCTCCCTTAAGGGTGTATAAATGTGCAAACAAGAGCTGTCTTTTCCTTACCAGTAAATTGGATATTCTAAAACTTCATGCTGTGAGTCATGAAAGACAAGAACAAGAAATATATGAAACTAATAAAGAACAGGATACCACATTTGCTGATATAAACACATACAAAAAAGACTTTCATCTGTATATCCCTACTGATGGACCTGAAAACCAGGAGAATTTGCATTTACTCACTAAAAGGGTAAAACCGCTTTTTGGAAAAAACGAGAAAACATTTAAATGCAAGTTATGTAAAGTTGAGTTCAAAACTCTGGATCAAACACTCAGACATATTTTACGCCATCTTAAAATTGAATTTCGATGTCACATGTGTCAGTTTACTAGCACTTTGTTATGGAAGTTGACGAAACATGCCAAAAAACAACATGCTTGCAAATTTTTTAACATTATATACTCTGACAAAATTGAAGAGGCAATTCACTCTTTAATGTCCAGTACTATTCGATCTGATGCAAAAAAAAATGATAAGTTCCAACCAGATAAAACATGTTCGAAGCCAAGTGTCTCAAACTCTGCAAAGACCAGAAGTGGTATTGAAATCAACCAAAAGGAAAAATTTCCCCAAATAAAGAGAAAAGAGAATCATTCTATAGAGAGTTCAAAGCAAAAAGTCAGACAATGGAAGATGAGGATCACAGAAAAATTCAACCAGAAAACAAATGTTAATAGGAAAAGAAAGAAACCTAATGATGCAGAGGAGAAAGATAATCACCTGAATGATGCATATAATGATAATAGACAAGACAAGAAAAGAAAAGTTATAAACGATTCACCCAAAAAGATTAGTGGTTCAACTGTAGGTGATGTCAAAACATTTTCTGCAGCAAAACCATTGAAGGAGGCCAGTAAAGATGATGAAACAGAACCAGGCAGCTCTATTCAATGGTCTACAACTATCACCGATAAAACAATGTGTTTACTAGGCTCAGATTATTTAGATGAGGGATTGTCAGCTTTATATACTACTGAAAATAACAAACATCAATGTAGAATATGTAAAAATATGTTCCCAGCTATAACACGATACTGGATTCATCATCATTTAAATCTCAACCATCTTAAAATTGATCTCTATCAGTGTGGATATTGTGATATGCGTGCCATTGAAAAATTCAAGATTCATCAGCACCTCTCATCTTGCCATACAAAAGATAGTGTGAAAGTAAAGGACATTGATTTCAACATAAACCATGCAGTTTATAATTTTATCAGAAAATCTAATTTGAATATAGAATATAAACTGAAAAATGAGTCTGAGATAAATACAAGTATTGCTCCAGAGAATATTTATCCTGAACTAATCGATGATGATGGCCCCAAGGTGAAGAAACTATTTCGTTGTGAACATTGCCATGAGACTTTCCAATATGAGATTAAAGCTAAGATGCATTCTAATACTGAACATCCAGATATTGATACCATAATAAAACTTGTTTACAATAAGGCATCTATCTCATCTACCACTTCAGAGTCTGAAGCTAACCAGGTGAAATCAGTGGATAAAAGAAAAAAATCGCCTTCAATCAAAACAACTATTTCTAAGAAAGTGAAAACTGTGGATCACAATAAAGATGTATTTAAATGTCCACAATGTAATTTTACTACTAACGATTGTATAGATACCATCAAAATGCATTTTAAAAGTCACAACTATGAAGAACTTCTTGAATGTGGATACTGTGGTGTTAGGTTTTTCAATGAAAAGGCTAGTAAAAAACATCACAGACTATCACATCAACTCCAGGTGTACAAATTCAGCTCACTACCATTAAAAGAGTTTTTTAAGGTTATTAAATCTGAGTCAAGTTCACCTAGTTCACATACAGTACCTTCAGTAATAGATACAAGAAAACCAAAGTTTCAGTGCATCTACTGTAAAAAGCAAGAACATAACAAGAATCTTATGAAGATCCACCTTCTCAATCATTTACCAGAATTTCAGAGGTCTGTTGTTTGTTCTGTTTGTTCATTAACTATCAAAGATCCTGTACGAAGAAAAACTCATTTCCTACAGATGCACAAATCAGATGAAAACAGTAAAGAATATCTTCTTGTTGAAAAACGGCTCAATGAATTGATGGATGAATGTCAATATAGAGAATTTATTGAGCAGAAAAAAGAAATATTCAATCAAAAAAGAGCAATACAGTGTTATAGCTGTTCTGTAACCTTTGAAAATTTGTCCGAATTAAGGAATCATTCCCAAATTGAACACAAACTGTCTTCTAATATGTATATATACTGGAAAGATGCTATTACTGGTGGAACATATAATTTGCATGGTTTGATGATTGGCTCCATAGTTGATCTCCAAAATATGGATGTTGTTTTGTGTAATCTCTGTGATTATCGATGTAGCAAAAGGTAGGCAGTTTTTGACAATCAAATTTTCTTTTCAGTCCACATTCTTGTAAATGCTCTTGTGACACTATCCTACTTATCCAATCAGTACTTCCACGTTGTGTACTTGTTTCTGAATAATGAATTAACCCTGGAACACTGTTTTGCTTTAACTATGTTTATATAACTTTATAACATCCATAATACAAAGGTTATATACAGCAAACTACACACACACAAGTATGACATTAAATATAAGCTAAAATTTACATAATGATCTCCGGCGGCCTCTAAGCCGGGGAGACTAAAGGTATGTCTCTCAAGACCCCTGCATCTTGTCTGCATCCCGGCCTCTAAGCCGAGAAGGCCTTGGGAACGTCTTTCTGAAATACCATAATATGATGTCTAAAAGTCTGAATCCCAGCCTCTAAACAGAGGTGGCTATTCATCCCTCTAGGAACGCCAGTGATGTTCTCTCCAGGAACACTGAATGATGTCTATATAAAACTTATAGATACATCAACTATTAGGGCAGGGCAATTGTGATTTTTATACGCCCACATGGAAATGTGGTCGTATATTGTCGTCGCCTCTGTCCGTCCGTCCATCGCCCACAATTTCTTATGAACACTCTACAGACTACATTTATCATCTGATTGTTTTGAAATTGATATATGTTGTTTGCATTAGTGAGATGAAGAAGCCTATTTAATTTCAATAACTTAAGTTAATTTCTTCTAGAGTTATGGCCCTTGTTTTCACTTTGTTGCACCTTGTGAACACTCTAACAACAAAAGTTATCAACCGATCTGTATGAAATTTATATGCATCATTTAAATTAGTAAAACAAAGAATCCTATTGAATTTCAGCAATATCTGTTAATTACATCTAGAGTGAGTTATGGCCCTTGTTTCACTTTGTTGCACCTTGTGAACGCTCTAATGACAAAAGTTATCAACCGATCTGTATGAAATTTATATGCATCATTTAAATTAATAAAACAAAGACTCTTATTGAATTTCCGTTAATTACGCCGTGAGTTATGGCCCTTGTTTCACTTTGTTGTACCTTGTGAACGTAGGCGTACGAGCTGGGGGGGGCTCCAAATGCTGGGAAAATCTGGGCACACAAATGTACTTTGTAAAAGTATAAAAAAAAAGATTGTGTTCTTGAATGTGTCCAATTTAACAGCGAATTTATTATTATTATGTAACATACTAAGAACCTAACTACATTTTTTGGGCACCAACCACCACCGCCCCCCCCAGTCAAAAATTTCCCTGTACGCCTATGCTTGTGAATGCTCTAATGACAACAGTTATCATCCGATCAGTTTAAAATTTATATGTATGGTTTAAATTTGTAAAACTAACAAGCCTATTATTGAGTTTCAGCCAATTTCCGTTAATTACGCCGTGAGTTATGGCCCTTGTTTCACTTTGTTGTACCTTGTAAATGCTCTAACGACAAAAGTTATTATCCGATCTGTATGAAATTTATATGTATGGTTTCAATTAGTAAAACGAACAAGCCTATTGAGTTTCAGCAAATTTCCGTTAATTACATCTAGAGTTATGACCCTTGTTACACTTTGTTGAATCTTGTGAACGCTCGAACGACAAGTTACCTTCCAATCTGTATGAAATAAATTCCTATGCATCATTTAAATTAGTGAAATGAAGAAGCCTATTGAATGTAAGCAATTTCCGTCAATTACTTCTAGAGTTATGGCCCATGTTTTACTTTGTTAAACCTTGTGATGGTTCGAACGACAAACGTTATCATCCGATCTGTATGGAATTTATATGCATTATTTGAATTAGTAAAACGAAAAAGCCTGTTGAATTTCAACAATTTCTGTAGATTACTTCAAGTGTTACGGCCCTTATTTTAGTTTTTAGAACCTTGTGAACCCTCAAACGACGAAAATTATAATGTCATCTGTATGAAATTGTCTATTAAATGCCCCTAGCTACCTACAAAAGAATAAATATGTGACAACCCTTGTCGACTGCTCGGACAATTTAGCTGCTGTGGGCGTATGTTTCGGTAAGCATTTCATTTATCGGGTTCATGTCGGGAGACATAGCGGGCCAATCCATAATACGGACAAGATGATTGTTTAAAAAGTCTCTTGTCAACCTGGCAGTGTGGGGTTGGGCGTTGTCATGCTGGAAATCCATCTGTCGACGGACGCCATGTTGAGCCAGCATTGGAAGCAACACCATATGGCGTCATCTTAATGTTGAGTGTTGAGATTGCCTTAGGCCACCACCAACTGGGAACGGAAGTTGACGTGTATAGCAGCCCAAACCATTATGCCACCGCCCCTCGAAACAATCCCTTTCCAGCACTCAGTTACGAGCAAAGCGTTCATGTCAACATCGGTAGATAGGGGTACGTCAATCAAGAAAACTGAGGTTGAATCGGGATTAAGCCGAGAAGATGACATTTCACCATGGTGTGTTGTGCAGATACCCCTGATTTGCGGCCCAATGTTGTCTGTCAAGTCGATGATGATGCAAAAGGATTTGGCCTTGGTAAGGTCGACGGCAGCGTAACCCAAGAGCAGCCAGACGCCTTTGGACTGTTTGCGGGCTGAGCTGACGTTGCAGTGTTCCAACAGTTCACCTGGCAGTAGCAGTAGCTGACTGGAACCTGTTGCGCAGATGCTGTAGTTGGATGTGATGATCTTGAGCAGCGGTTGTTACAGGTGACGCTCCAGGTCGGGGTCGATCGGCAACTCTTCCAGTGGCGTGAAAGCGTTGTCTGAGGCGAGTAATGGTCGATGGGTGAACATTAAAGTGTCTGGCAGGGCTACCCGTGAAGCCCCCCTGATCTAGCATGCCAATAGCTCTGTTCCTGTTTTCTTGTGTAAGGCGTGGCATTTTTCCGAGGTGATGAATGTTGAAATTTTGATCTGTTTTTAAAAGGCCAGATTGCAGGGAATGCATGTGCGAAACATGTGACATGGGACTGCTTAAAATCGTGAAAAAAGACAATGTTCATTACCGAGAACTGACCCCCAAAACATTTAAGTGTTTCTGGTAGGCTTAAATATGCCTAGATACACTGTTAGCTTCTTTTAGTCTGGTGACAAAACTGCTCTTTAATGTATATCTTCCAAAGAATCCTATTTGAGTCCAAAGCATAATGTTGTTGTTGTTGTTTATTACAGATTTAACGTCCAATACAATGAATTTTTATACGTCGACATGTTCGAAGGCAGATGTTCAAAGGTGGGGGTCGGCCGATTGAGAACATACAAACAGGGTTTGGTCGACCATCGAGCCTACTCTCCAGCCAAAATCACCAATTTCAGATATCAACCATTTCCGAGATACAGGCCAATTACGTTTTTCGGTTGATTTTTGTCATTTTTAGGCCAAATTTTAGCTATTTTTGTAGCACTATTACCGCTGTTGCATGACCCTGGCTGTTTGTGATAGTCAGGGTCTTAATCTATCACATTATCATGGTTCAAGTTAATTTTCCATAGGTGTCAGGAGACTACACAAGATACGTGTCTGTAGATACTTGAAATGTACACTATCTTCAGATCACGTTAACTCCAATGGAGCAGGGTTTGCGATAAAAATTAAAATCAATTTATTTGCAGCTTGACCAGTTCTAACAACATAAGAAATAAAATTGTTGTCAGCTAACTTGCAAAAGTATGAAAATTTGTGTCGAAAGTTACCAAACACTTTAGTTTTGATTGGGATACATCGGCGGATTATTCAGGTACCCAATCGCCAATATTGTTATTCAAAGCAAAGGGTCAATATATCTACTCCGGCTCCTCTTTAACCCGCTTTGCCAAAAATATTCAGTCTCGGTATCCAGTCTACAAATCCAAGATGCTGTCTCCCAGTGAATATGGATTTTCGCAAATTCGCAATCTAAAATGTCGATCCTGATTATTTAAACATTTTTTTTCTAAAGACTAAGAAAAATGAGAAATTTCAATTCAAAATTTTGAAAAACAGTCGAGTTAAAGCAGATGAAAGTCGACAATTATGCAAAACAGACCCAATTTCCATGAAAATCGCCTATTTACCCTTCACAGTGACCTTCAATCGCGAGGTCATCAGGGATAAAATTTGAAGTTCACACGTTGCTCTATCGACAAACAGTATCTCATTCGAAAATATTGAAAAACAAATGAGTTAAGAATTGGGATTTCAAACATTTTCAGACATTTTACCGAAAATAAAGGGGTATAACTTATTTAAGTAGACGAATTCATACCACAATTAAGAATCATGTGTCAACAAAATATTCAAATCCGCACGTAATAAAAATAGGAACACCTCGCTATTTTTGTACACCCACATTCTCGTGTGTTTATGTCCCTAAGAATTCGGCTCCTGTCGATATTGGCATGTATCAGACCTTAACTTAATAGACTATGGCCCCTGAATTTACGAAAAATCACGTTTTTAGCTTGTGGACACTGGAGGAAAATTTTTTATCCGATTTTGATGAAACTTAAAAGATATGTTTATAACCCAAGGAACTCGGTTCCTTTCAATATTCTCGCATATCGGATCTTAACTTCCTGGATTATAGCCCATGATTGTACAAAAAATCGCGTTTTTAGCTTGTAGCCCCTCAAGAGGTCACAATTTTTATTCGATTTTTAAAAACGTTTTAATATATCACCGTTACACGCTAATGATGGTGGAATCACCATTACACGCTAATGATGGTGGAATCACCGTTACACGCTAATGATAGTGGAGTTTCGTGAAAATCGGATCAAAACTGCCAGACAAAATGGCCGCTCCTCATCGCAAATAGTGTAAAAGTATGTAATTCCATTTTGATGAAACTTAAAAGATATGTTTATAACCTAAGGAACTCGGTTCCTTTCAATATTCTCGCATATCGGATCTTAACTTCCTGGATTATAGCCCATGATTGTACAAAAAGTCGCGTTTTTAGCTTGTAGCCCCTCAAGAGGTCACAATTTTTATTCGATTTTTTAAAACGTTTTAATATATCACCGTTACACACTAAT